TTTTCGACGTACCGTCTACGTTCGGAATAATTTTGGTAATTAAGCATTATGTTTAATTAATAATTAAACATAATATAAGTGATTAATTAATATTAATCACCTTAGTTAGATCACAAAGCCGTGAGAACTAATGAAATTTGTCCCAATTTTTAAGAAAACCGTAAGCTTCCTTTACCATTTGGAAAGTTAAGTTTCCTCTCCTTTTTGACTCAAAAACGTGGCATAATAGGGAAGTGTTTAGTCATCACTCATGCTCCCAAAAGCTAGCAAATGTAAGATGGAGAAAAGGGCCACGTCAAGCCTTGTCACCCCAACCCCTCAATTCGGCCAAGTATAAAAGATGACCATAGACCAAAATTTTGGTCACGTTTTCCCGTAAGAACCAATCCTATATTCAGCCTATACCAAACCTTAAGTCAGCAGCAAATAAGCTTCATTTTACCTCAAATATTTCCCTAAGTTCCATCACCAACGCACGACCAAAGATAGTCAATAGCACGGCAAAGCTAGGCACCGCACGAAGTACGCGAGTGAAGAGGACACGCCTTATTCTCCAATTTCAGTCGAGTGTTTCAAGAGGTAATTCTCTCCTCAGTTCATGTTCATGTTAATTAGGCTATTTCAAGGTTAAGTGTTCGAGCCTTATGCGAGAATTTGTAACAAGACCGTGCCTAACTCTGATTATGTTTAAGTAAAAGCATGACCAAGTTATTTTCTAATTCTTCCGGCAACTCTCATTTAAATGTTCAGTATAACTAGATTCATGTTCAATAAGATCAGCTTTGTTGAAGAAAAATGAGATTTTATTGATAAAATTGGCCAAAGCCGTCGTTAGCGCCTATCGCACGTAGTTACGGGCGGCCACGGTTCCTGATTTTGTGATTTTAGTATCAATCAGGTTCATCCGTGTGTTTAGGTCCTAAATTGCTTCAGATTAATGTTCATATTGAGTAATTCAGAAGTTGTCGAGAATTAAGGTATTTCGGCCGAGAGACGGCGTATAGCCGTCGGCGGCGCAAGGCGCGCCCGCCACGGTCTTGTCATGTTCAGCGTGCAATATTATATTTTCAGGTCATTTTATTCATGTTAAGTGATATGGTGATCAGTCATGATAAGTTAGTCGGAAGATTTGTTCAGTTCGGTCGAAGGTTGGCCGAAGGCCGTAGGCCTCGCACATAGCGAGCGCACCACGGCCGAGTGTTCGGTTCGGTAAGTCAGTCAGCAATTTCTGTTTAAATTCAGTTTATTGTTTATGTTAAGTCATAACATGTTAAAATAAGTCAGTTTGGTTGGAGGAGTACGCCGGAC